AATTCCGCATCAGAGAGGGCGGAAAAGAGTGGTCTAGTTTGCAAGACCAAATGGCAAGTGGTATGTTTCTATTAAACCCTTTCAGCCGCCAGCAATGTCCTTACATGTTTTTATAGCTAAAAAAAGCATACCACAGCGTTATCGAAATCAAGTGTACGTCGGGCTTTACGTGGAGTCACGAGCACGGAGCGGGTATCACGGATAGAAAAGACGATGTTTGGGCACGCTTTGTCAAGGTACGCATTATGATAGATTGCACGCTGCCACCCCTTCATGACGTTGTTTTCAGACACACCCTCATGCGAAGCCCTTCATGATGAAGGGCTTCGAGCACTTCGAAATCATGGAACAACTGATTCCAAGCAAAGCCAAAGGCTCGCATGTATTCCGACCCACCGCCACCAGCAATGTGCCTCAGGATTCTACTGCCTCCACACCACCTTTGATCCCCACCGCCTCTACACCACCTTTGATCCCCACTGCAATCGATAATGCCACTTGGGGGCCGCCATCGTCAGTAGATCCCGACTCCCTCGAAGTACCTCCTCCCTCTACCTTCCTCTGTCCATCCACCGAAGGTTCTACCGACTCGGTATGGACCAGCATTAGCCAGGAAAGCGCAAATTCAGCGCTATTGCTCCTGGATCTGCTGCGAGTTCCCAGAAATGGAGTCGGCTGCCATCTGCCACGCTGTTAGTGCAGCAGGAGGGTACCGAAACGATGAAGAACCTCGTTGAGGTGTGCGTGAGATGCAGAAAAACCTCGTATTAGCTCCACCGCAACCGCCGGTGCAACCACAGCCCTCCACACACGTTGGGAGGGCTATTTCTTTACTTAATATGTACACGGACCTTACCAGTAAAGAGCGGTTAGCCATCACGAACTTTTTAGCCGAACACGAAAACCAGGCCATTATTTTTTATTCGTTGGACGAGGTGACAGGCTCGAGTGGTCTGGGAAGAGAAACAGTCCTTTGTGGTGGTGCGCCGTGAGGCCTCACAGAACCATATGACTATGTTGTAGCATGCTTGATTGTTTTCTAGTACAAAATTTGTATAGTATCTGTAACTACGGCAATGGGAGACCCCCTTCGTTTGCGCTCCTCGAGTAATCAGTCCACAATTGCGAGTGCAAATCGCCTCTCGATGAGCATCCGCTCAGAAGTATCCGCCGGTCCTTTCAGACAGCGTCCGTGTGGCTACAGTGTCGTCCTCCACGATATCATACTCGTGGTCTAGAGTGAGATCAAAACTGTCAGGATTGTACCTTCGTGTAAAGTTATGAATCGCGCATAGCGCGGCTGGGATCCGGGCCTGGATATGCAGGCTGTATTCAGGCGCGATCGTCAAAATGCGCCATTGCCTTTTCAGAACACCGAATATCCGTTCGACAATGTTTCGTAGTGCCGCGTGTCAAAGATTAAATAATTCCTTAGAGTCGCGTGGCCTATAACAAAATTAATAGCAAATCAGATATGTACGATAAATAAACTCACGCAATGTTTGCTTGGCGCCATTCTTTCAAGTGATAGCGCACTCCCCGATAAGGTACTAGAAGCGCATCACAGGTACCGAAACCCGCATCAGCAAGAAGGTACCTGTGTTGAGGTATGCGCAAATCATGAGAGCGCGCGTCATTCCAGAGCGTCACGTCAGCGACTGAGCCGTCCCAGCCCGTGAGCGAGTACATAAAATAAAAGTCCAGGTCGCATATAAACAGGCAGTTTTGCGATAAAAACCCCTTCCGGTTACGCAGGATAGTGTGGTCTTCAAGTGGCGCGAAGGCCCGGATGTGAGTGCCGTCGACGGCACCAATACACTCATCGAAGAATCTGAATCGCGGGTCTGCATGTACTGCCGTGGAAATGGGAGTATCACTGTTTGGGAGTTGGACATTGGAGGTGTAGAAGGGATGCGATGAGAAGAACACAAGCATCCGTTTGAAATATCTGCAAAAGTTAGCACAGTATTAGTCTCAAATAATTAATGTACTTACCTAGTGATCGTGTCGGGAGAACGTTGGAATCTTTCTCCAACGTGACGAGATGATAGTCCGGTAACGCATGTGTACAGAAATATACCAAGTTGCTCGGCGACGGTGACGCCATTGCGCGATTGAACGAATCCATGTTGGTGGAGAGTGTCTAACAATTGCTCAAAACGTCTCAAGGTTGATGCCGAAGTTATGTTGAATTCGGTCTGGATGACTGCTGATAAGCTCGTAGACCCAAGCTTGGCCGGTGAGGATCGATGTATGGTATGGAATTCGTTCAGTGTGAGACAAGAACAGGAGGTTGTATAAGTAGGTAATCTGTGCAATGGCAATGGTTATGATGATCACGATTTGGTGGTGTCGACGCTGCGTTTGTGCTTCAAGATCTGGAATCATGATGGGCGTAAGAACAGGACGTACATTTGATCCTACGATTATCTATCAGCATATATCACGTGCGGCCATCACGTGCAATTTGAACCGGGAATTTCGAACCTAGAATTTGTCGTCCGAACGGCACCTTATTTGCAGAAAGTCTGGGAATCCGAATTTCCGGCAGTCTCCGTCCAGCTGCATGCGGGTCTGTCCGGATCCGTCTGTGCACAACTTGTCAGTTCTTAACGTCGTGTCATACAATGAACACATTTCATGACTCGTTACCATCTTGAATACATCAAATTAGTGATCTTCCAGCCTGGCCTCACCTGACTATTACAGCTTTGTGCAGCTGCAGATATAGTTTGAGCTTTCAGACATCAGGAAAATTATAAAAATTCTTAGCCAACTTATCTTACTTATGTTTACTTGAAACAATACTAAGTGCACCAAGTCATGTAAGAAGATCATTTCTACTTAATTTCTACTTAGAGAATTCTTCACAAAGGAAATACAAGAAAGAAATCTGCGAATCAAGTGTTATTCAGAATTTTAAGTAGGCAGGTGATAATAAGTGAAATTTGAGATCTACTAAGTAGTAGACTCACTCAGAGTATCATTACTAAGCGGAAAACATAAGTTGATTTCAGCTAAACAATAATAAGTACTACGATAAGTCAAAATGCGATCTCATATGCATGATGATCAATGAAATTGTTGACATAATAAGTGCAAAAAGCGTCGAGTGTCTGCGAGTAAGTGAGATTGGTTGGCACAAAGTCGCCCCCAAATACTGGTATAAGGTGGGCCGCACGAAATATACTATCAAGGTGGATGACAGACACACAGCGTGCTCCATCTTCAAGAAGCTCCGGCTCTACAACCCACATTCCCGTAATTTCATCTGGGGAGTCAGCCACACGTTTGAACCACTGTACAAGTGCACAAGGGTACGTGATACCATCATGCTTCAAAGAAAAAATAGTCTCACTCGAGCAATGTTGAGGCCGCGCATGCCATCGGCAGACGAATCAGTGCTAACAAAGACACAATCATAGCGCCCAGGGCCATTTCTCCACGTATCTACAGCGCGAATACGCTCGTAGCGCATACCGCCAATCCCCGATAAATCGCTAGGAGCAAAGAAGGTGGCCACGGCTGAAGTGTACAGTGTGATCTTTTCGTAGATCTCAGGAAGTGCAGACCGGGAGGAGTCAGAGCTAGATGAGTCAGAGTCAGCACGGCATTGGTCACGCAGAAAATGCTAAATCAAAGTTGTGAAGTTGAGTTGACCTATCTGATCTGCAATGAGCTCTGGGTAGATCCGTCTGGCTGTAGTAAGGTGTATGGTGAGCGGAAGCATGCAAGTATACACAAAACTACTTACCAGCTGTCTTCGCCAGGTCAACATGGGCAAGGACCATTGGCCCATCAACAGCATCAGCATCAGGCTCAGCATTGGTGTTACCCTCACCCTCGTCTGCACTACCTTCGCCATCATTAGTTGCATGATGGTAGCATCCAAAAGGCTCATCCTGGTCTGGGACATCTCATTTGATGTGTGCTTCCAATGGAGCGTTTAGTATCCCTGTGAATTGTAAAGGTGGTGATTAGTGTTGGCGAGCCCAGCATCATGAAAATCACATACCAAGTTTGTTGAGGATGTATGACAAACACGTCCCTCATAGCATCCCGCGGTCAACAAAATCAACGCGTGAAGCGGCTAGCTTGTCGAGACGCTGATTGGTAAGTAACATTTGACTGAGAGCCTCGAAATGACTCGACCGGCGCCATGGCTCCTTGACGGCTTTAATGTGTTTGGACTCTGTTATAGACGAACAAAGCCCATTTGGTGCGCCGAACGCTCGAATGAGCTTATGGTAATGGATGAGTGAATGTTGTCGAGGGAGATTAAATCCTCTGGGTCGAACACCGGATGTTCGGAATATCTTGCGGTACCTGTGGAAACGCTTCAAGGCATCGTCCATTGCGTCGAGGCTGTTAGAGCTGATGATGTTGCGGCGAGCGATGTAGATGAAGTCGAGTAACGCTCGCAAAGCCTGTACCATCTCTTTGGGTACATGACCTTCGATAGCAGGTATATAGACCTGGGCAGTAAATGCGCATTAAAAATATTAGTACTGTTGCTATGTAAAATATAAGAATATCGGTACAGACCTTCATGAGAGCTTTTGAGTCGTCACCAGTCCACTGTTTGAATCCTCTACCCTCTGGAAATCGTCGAAGGCCTGCAAACGCTGGAGCTAGAGCGATGCTAGTTGTGTGACACATACTACTATTCAGCAGCAGCAGCAGCTTGAAGTGAATTTGAAGATAAACTTACCGATGGTCAATGTCGTCCAGTATCTTGTTCGCGTTGGCTTCTGTATATTGAGCTTCGATGTAGTCGTGCACCCAACTAACTAGGTGGTCCTTGAACGCTCCCTTGATGAGCTGGTGTAAGATATCTGGGGAGAGAAGCTCGTGTATGTCAGCGCGTGGAAAGTAATTAGTGAATGGCTGTATCAATAGTGTAAGTTCAAAAGAGACGAGTAGATGAAGTATTGTACACACCACAATGTCTCCAACAAGGCCGTATTCATCCCACAGAACACCTAGTTCGAATTCCTCAACCAAAACTTCGGTGTGATTGCGGGAACGTCGGCCATATGTGCCTTCATTGAGACCGTCTGCTGGTGCGGTGCATCTGCCGGTGTAAGAGCACCATAGTCCTACTTAGCATAGGGACACGAAGAATAAGACAAAAACGTACTTTGGACACCAATTTTGTACAATACATGCAAGCAGTGCTTGCTCGGGATAGTCAGCTATGTATGGTCCAAGACCATACACAGCTCGTTGAAAGTGGCCATCAGGGCAACGGACAACCTCCGGTTTGGTCATGCCAGGTTTGAGGGTTTCAAGCATTTTTGCAAGTGACGAGTGTAGAAGCTGGCGGCGGAACTTTCGGAAGTGTGCGTCCTTGGTGTCTTCATTATCAGCTAAGTAAATCAGTACCACATTAGTAACAGCAGCGCACACAATTAGTAGAGAGTACGTACCTTTTGGAATGGCTAAGAAGCCAAGTAGTACGACACCATTGCGGTGTGCATGCCGCACATTGTTGCGGATGTTGCCAATGGACATATAGACCGGCCAATATTGGTTATGGCCAGTGGCGACAGAGACTGTTGTCTTGTCACTTCCAAGAATAATAGGGATGAACATCGATCCTATTGTATCCGGATCTTGCGCAATTAAGTCCTGCAGTGAATGATAAAAGTGAGACAACAACGCGAAGGAGTAAGTGAGCAACGCTTACGGCCTGTTTCCAACACCAGTCACCAGACATAAAGTCCTGAAATTGATG